CACACACACACACACACACACACACACACACACACACACACACACACACACACACACACACACACACACACACGACACACACACACACACACACACACACACACACACACACACACACACACACACACACACACACACACACACACACGTACAGGACGATTGGGCACATGGCGAAGCGAGCACTGGCCCGCGCGCGTGTGAGCGAAGTGCATGTCCCCCATATATCGCTGCGGACGGGCAGCGCGGAGCTTGGACCAGGCGGTGGGCAGCAGCAGCACATACTGCCAGATGCCCTGTCCACGAGTGAAGACCATTCTTCCAAGCAGTCGCCACCGCCCTCATCATCATCGTTCTTGTCGGATCTGCTGTCCCGTTCTTCGTCACCTCCGCCAACGGGCGAAGCTTCGGCATCGACCGCCCTCCACCCGCACACCAGCACCCCCAACAGCCGTCCAACCACCACGACGACGACTGCAACCACGACAACTGCGAAGAGGACCAGCGACAACAGCACTGCACCTGCCGCAAATGGCAGTGGTGATGATGGTGAGCAGGTGAGTGACACGGAGGAGAGCGAAAAGCGCGCGCAGTCTCCCGACGTTGAAGACAGCACCAGTGGGGCGGCAGCGAAGGATGGCAGCGTGTACACGGGCCAGGATGACGCGGATGTTGTTGCCTATCCAGGAAATTTCCTCCGCTACCGGCTGCTGCTCCCACCCGATGTGCCGGTGTCACCACCCAACTCGACCAAACACGGCGCTTCAGAGCACCGCACCCTTGTTGGCGGCGACGACGATGACAGTGAGGATGATGGTGACAACGATGGTGATGACGTTAATGATGATGACGGTGATGATGGGGATGGGCAGTATGACAGCATCCTTGGCGGTCGGCGCCTGCGACTGTATCCTCAGCGAAGCGACAGTGGCCATTTCCCTGACCCAGCACCCGTTCCAAAGGCGCACGCTTCCTACGGTATGCCTGTCGCTTACACGGCGTGCTTACATTGTCCGCAGCCCTGCCTGCCGTGCATTTCGTTTGTTGCGGGGTTGCGCTTGCGTAAGCCTCTACGCGCTGCACATTGTTCATGTTGCGTGCGCTCACCATGAATGTGTGCCGCGGTGTGAACGTGACAGAGCGCATTATGGCGAGTGCGCCGGGATGCGTGCGCAGCATTCGTTTAAAACCTCCACAAGGTACCACATGCACAAATACGCTCTGCCCGCCGCCACCTGTGGTGTCTTGTGCCTTGTGTCTTGTGTCTGACGCCCTACCAACACTATCCACTCAGCCCAATACACAAACACCACCGCCGCCACCACGATCATCAGAGTCGCCGCACGTACCGGTTCCAAGTGCGCGGCACCAGCTGCTTGAGCTGAAGCCCTCTGCTGAAGGATGGACCATCTGCAACCGCCAGTGGTCCGACCTGCCCTTCTCCAAAGACAAGTGGTGCGCCCCACATGTAGCCGTTGTTGTTGTTGTTGTTGTTGTTGTTGTTGTTGTTGTTGTTGTTGTTGTTGTTGTTGTTGTTTAAGTTGTTGTTGTTGTTGTTTAAGTTGTTGTTGTTGTTGTTTAAGTTGTTGTTGTCGTTTGTTGTTGTTGTCGTTTGTTGTTGTTGTCGTTTGTTGTTGTTGTCGTTTGTTGTTGCGCGTGTCTCGTGCGAGGGTAACATGACTGTTGCTGTCCCAGATCGTTCTCACCACACACTCACCCAACATCCTTCCACTCCACTTGTTCCGTCTCTGCTCAGCACTGTGATTGCAACGTGGCGCGAAGCCATTTTGCACCTGACTTCGCTCCAGCAATGGCTCACCACCAACTTTGGCTTCATTGTCGTTGAAGACCAGCAGGTAATGAATGGAATCATCAGTTCTATTGTCTGTGTGTTTCGCCTCGTTTGATTGTTTGCCTGCCCACACATTTTGGCGTGAATGTCCGTAACTGTCGCACCCACACAGCAACCCGATATCCGTTCGTCCCATCTTTCATCTCCCCCACTTTGCTCACCCCCGTTGCACTCACAACATTGCGCTCGCCGCATTGCAATGGTCACACTACGTTGCACTCACACCATTCCATCTCTTTCCTGTCCCAACACCATCATCCCAACTCACCACCACCCCCCTTCACCACCACCACCACCACCCCCCTTCACCACCACCACCACCACCCCCCTTCACCACCACCACCACCCCCTCTCACCACCACGAAAGGCGCGCTACACGTCACACTGCGTTGTGCCCATCCCGACCACCACTGTTCCGCCGGTTCCTGAGCGCCAATGCTCGCTGGGCCCACGCCCGTCGTCCCCGTACTCCTCCACTGCCGGGCCCTTCCGCAGCCTTCCACCTCCATCGGCACCGCACGCGGGCACCACAGCACACCCGCAAGCAACAGCGACAGCAACGACAACGGCAACGACGACGACATCAGCGCCAGGAACGGGACCGGGAGCAAGTGCAACGACTGGTGCGACGGCGGGTGGAAAGACAGGCGCGATGATGACGACGATGGCCACGACACACGCACGCACGGCCGCCCCTCTCAGTGCCACCGCCCCGCCCCCGACACGAGTGGTCACCGCCCGCGGAGCACCAGTGATGGCGTCCACAGCGACAACAGCAAGCAGCCAGCAGCCATTGCAGCAGCAGCAGCAGGCCACCTACCACCCACAGGGCGGCGCTACTGGTGCATACGCCACCACGACCACCACGGCTGCACCAACGATGGCAGCAAATGCGAGCGCAGCACCAGGCAGAGCACCGTCGTCGTCCACCGCCACCTCTGCAACACCGGCAATGACGGGCACCACCACCAGCGCCAGCTACACGTACCAAGCCCAACAGCGGGGCCCATCACAGCAGTACACACGCACGGCGCCATCCCCATACCATCCACGCCCACAGCAGACCACCACCGCAGGTGCCAACACCCGGACCAGCACACCCATGGGAGCGCCAACGCCCTACTCCCGCCCTCCGCCAGCAGGTCCCGTGTACGCGCAGCCGACACCTGCAACTCCGATGGCCGCACGCAGCAGCACAGCTGTTGCCGCTTCGACAACCACCACCATCAGCGCACCAACAGGCAGCACGCCAGCACCGGCGTCCGGCCACTGCGGTGTTCCCACGTGTACCATGTGCGTCCCAGCGCAGCAGCCCCGCTACGCAGTTCCAACCGCGACACACCCTCCACCAACAACAATGGCGAGCGTGCCCACGGCGAGCGCAGCGTCATCTGTGCCAACAACTCCTGCTCCTGGCATTGCTCCTCAAACCAGCCAGCCCGCACCGGCGCCAGCAGCAGCAACAGCAACAGCAACCAGCGCCAAGCGTCGTGCGTCTGTGGCGCATGCGTACGCTGTTGTTGGTTCTGCAGGCGACAATGTGCACCTTGCAAAGCGACGTGCCTACTCCACATCAAATGTCGCCCAGGTAATTTGCGTAACGCCATCATCAAGCGGGGGTGTGCGTGCCTGTGCCTGTGTTTGTGCATGCCTGTGCCTGTGTTTGTGCCTGTGTGTGTGTGTGTGGGTGCGTGCGTGCCTGTGCCTGTGCCTGTGTGTGTGTGTTTGTGTGTGTGTGTGTGTGTGTGTGTGTGTGTGTGTTGTGTGATGTAATGTAACATGCGCGGCTTTGCAACAACACATACCCACACACACACACACATGCGCTGACGGATATCTACCATGTTTCTCTCTGTTTTGTTGCCTTATCTTGATTTCATTGTCGTTCCGTGTTCTCATACTCTATGGATGTGTGCTCGTCCCTGTTTTGCTCTGCCTTCGTCCCTGGTCATACGTGTTGGTGTAGTCTGACAATCCCTACTACCAGGCTGCCAACAACACCCCACGCACCTTCGAAGTCCCCGCTGGTGGCATGTATCACGTTGTCCCCATCAACGCCAAGACTGTGATTTGTGAGTCATCGCTCGCGCGTGCATCTGCTGTTGTTTGCATCTGCTGTTGTTTGCATCTGCTGTGCTGTCGCATGTGATGATTCCCCGTCTTGTGTGCATGCTGCTTGAAGCTTGTCCGGGTAACTGTCTCACATCGACACACACACACACGCACACACACACATACATACACACACCCGCACACACACCCGCACACACACACACACATCGACACAAAACCAGCCGGGCCACCAGCCGCATATGCGTATGCAACGGCCACGCGAACCGCGGCGCCGGCACCTGCTGCTGCAAACGCGAACAGCAACAGCACTGGCAGCATGCGCGTTGCGGGTGTGCCTGCTGGTGGGATGGTTGTGCAGACAATGCCACCGATGCAGCAGGGCACGGGTGGCGTGCTGAGCATGGCGCCTTCGACAATGGCGTCGAGACAGCCCGTCCCCACACCACAGGCAACAACAGCCGCGCCCACTGCAGGCACAGCTACCAGCAACGTTGCACATGTCTCCGCCCCACCTGGCCACCAGCAGCAGCAGCAGGGGCCCACTGCAATGGCTGCGGCCTCGATGACAAACGGGGCGCGTGCACCACTCCCGACATCATCACAAGCGACCGTGGTGACAGCAGCAACAGCTCCGAGAGCGTCAACGCCTGCAGCTACAGCACATCATGTGTCTGGATCAAGCGTGGCGCCGGCAGCATCGGTGAAGCGAGCAGCTCCACGTCGCGCCACACCCATAACAACGACGACCTCCATTGCCACGATGATGCTGATGAAGACAGCCATGCCACCCATGTCATCGTCGTCGTCGTCCGCAGCATCGTCGATGCCAACGCGACAGGCTGGCCTGGGAACGCAGCAGCAACAGCAACAGCAGCCACCACCACAACAGCAACAACAGCAGCAGCAACCAAATCGCGTGGTCACAACCGCTGCGCCAATACCTACAACAGCAGCCGGCACCACAGCAGCAACTGCAGCAGCAACAACAACAGCGCCCAGTGCATCCGTTGTGCCAGCAGCCCCTACATCCTCCACAGCTGGTGGGCCAACCACTGCGGTGACCACGCACGCACCCACACCAGCAACGACAACGGCAGCACACCCGACGAAGCAGCCGTCGACGAGCGGAACAACAACAACAACAACAACAACAACAACAACAAGCGAAACGGCAGCAGCAACAGCTGGGTCAACACCCGCGCCTGCTTCATCCAGTCAACAGCAGTCGCAACAGCAGCCGTAGAGATAGAGGCAGCAGTTGGTTGAAGTGGAGCCGTAAGTTGGTACCAGCAATTCCTGCTTTCACTGCGTTCGTTTTTTTCTCGTCTTTAGGACCATATCACCCTAGACGCACAAGCAACATAAGTGGCTGTCTGCTTTTTTTCAAGCTTTGCTTTGGGTAATGGGGCGAGCCGAGGCTGGGCCGTACGTTGTGTGTGTGTGCGTGTGTGTGCACATATGTACATGTTTGAGAGTGCAGATATGAGGTAGTCTTGCATGTCGACAGTCGGGTGATTAGGCTGAGCAGAATGTGTGTGTGTGTGTTTGTGTTGTGCAGATAGTGCTGAGCAAAGGCACTGTGTTGACATGCGCGTACTTTAACGTGTGCTTGTGTCTGTCTGTCTGTCTGTGTGGCTTGGTGTATTTGTTCAGAGTAATAAACAACCAACTAGGAAGGCAGCACAGACACAGACACACAGACAGAAACGTACGCACACATCATCATCACACACACACACACACACGGACACGAAGAAGAGAGAGGGGAAGGTTCTACGCGGCAACGGGCCACACAAAGGTGGGGGGGGGGCTTGGTGATGAAGGAAGACAACTAGTCCGGTCTCATCCAAAGAACATGACAATGGGGTGTGGTTGAAGCGAGAAGAGAAGTATGGTGCCACGCACGCACACACACACACACACACACACACACACACACACACACACACACACACACACACACACACATACACACACACACACACACATGCGACTGCAAAACGGTGGGACGGAACAAAACAAAAGATGTGTGAAGTGGGGGGGGGGAACGGGGCAACTTAAGAGCGTAACAAGTTGCAGCTCAAAGTAGCGGAGGAGCGAACCGCGCAACATCCAAGCACAGCAACGGGTGCGCGAGAAGCACGCACAGGCAAAGACATGCAGCAAATTTAGCTTTCGGGCAGAGACACCTTTGCCCCGCCAGAGGAGTTGATCTTCCGCACATAGTTACCTGCGCGCGCGTGTGAGTGAGTGAGTGAGTGAGTGAGTGAGTGAGTGAGTGAGTGAGTGAGTGAGTGAGTGAATGTGTGTGTGTGTGTGAGAGAGAGAGAGAGAGAGAGAGAGAGAGAGAGAGAGAGAGTGTGTGTGTGTGTGTGTGTGTGTGTGTGTGTGAGGGATGCCAGTCTCAGCGCAGCAGCAGTGAGGAAAGGGGGCAAGTTGATGATATTGGAAGAGAAAAGCTGATGTCAGAGGAGAGTAGAGAGAGGGCAGTACGTACGTGGGAAGTAGCCTTTCTTCCCTTGCTGGTTCTCGCCCTCATACCAGTCACCACTGTCATCAAACACCCTGTACACACAATAAGAAGGAGAGAAAGCGAAGGTTGAGTGTATGGGAAGGTGAGTGTGTGGAAGACGTTGCAGCACGAAGACGAAGCACCAGAAGCAACGTATGCGTGTGTGTTGCATAGAAATGTGAGGAGATTGATGTGAGATGGATGGAAACAGGCAAGGGTGCAGACAGACCCACCCACCCACCCACCACACACACCACACCACCACACCACCACACACACACACACACAGGCAAACAAACAGACATGCAGCCAGACACGCAGACATGCAGCCAGACACACAGACACACAGCCAGACACACAGGCACACAGACACACAGACAAGCACAGAGAAACACAATACGCACGCACACAAAACCAAACAAACAAACACACGAACACGCAGCCGCAAGGTGCTGACCGAAGGATTTCGCCGCCTTCGAAGCACAGGTCCTCCGGGTCATCACTCTCAAACTTGAAGAGTGTTTGATAGAGGGTGTAGTTGCGCTCCGCTTGCTTGCCTTCCAAAGCAGCCTTGCGCTCCTTCTTTGCCTGCAGCAGCCCATCCAGCTCCTGACCAAGCAGGCTCGCCATCTTCTTGGTCTCGTCCCGTTTTGCCTTCCGCTCGGCAAGCTTGTCGTTCAGCGAACTCATGGTGAGCTTACAGCTGCGCGTGTGGGCGCGGGTAGGGCTCGACTTGCTTGTTGCGCACTGTGTGCGTTGTGCGTTGTGTGTGTGTGTGTGTGTAGCGTGTGTCGTCTCCAGCGAGACAATGGTCGCAGCAGCAGCAGGTGCAGGGTGCACAACCAGCGACAACGAAAGCGACGAAATGGGCGTGGAAGAAAACTGCAAAGGAAGGCGCTTGCTTGCTCGGCTGGATCCACAAAACAAGAAAGACACGTTTTGAGAGTGGAAGCCACCACCACCACCACCACCAACACAAGTAGGAGTCACAGCAACAGCAGCTGCAACGCTGTGGCGTGTAGGGTTGCGTGTATTACAGTATGTACAGTTCAACGTGTTCACCAACCCAAACTCGAGAACAAGAAGAAAAGACAAAGAAGGAAAGGGGGGTGTGTCGAGGGAAAACAAGAGCAAACAAGAAGAGGGGCAGCAGCAGTCAGGACGGCAACGGTCGTCGTGCACACGCGTCGTGTGTGTTGTTTCAAGAGGAGGAGGATGATGGCTGTGAAGAGCGCAGGGTCTCAAGCTCCGTGATGAGGGTGTTGATCTGCTCCTGGAACATCTTCTTCACATCCACAAAGTCCATTTGCAGCTGTTGCAACTCCTCGTCCTTCTGCCCGTACATCTGCAACAACCGATCGTGCCTGCAGGCACACGTAAACACACACACACACACACACACACGCACAGACGTGTGCATGGTTGATGAGGCCGACAAGGATAGGGTGGTCGAAGGGTGCAAGTGAACAGGCCACTGCCTGCACAGGTGCACATTCATGCGGAGCCGCCACCCAGCGTTTCGCATTCCCGAGTGCGCACACACAGAGACAGAGACAGAGACAGAGACAGACACACGCACACGCACACACACACACACACGCACACGCACACGCACGCACACACACACACGCACACGCACACGCACACGCACACGCACACGCACACGCACACACACACACACACACACACACACAGAGCGGCCTCCTCCGAATACCGGATGACAAGATCCTCGTGGTCGCGCTGCAGCTGGAGCCAATCAATGTCCTGGTCTGCCTCGTCACTCGGCGGCATGATGGAGTGCTCTGGTGCTGCTGTTTCTCGCCGCTGCGCATCCTCTCTTCGCCGCAACGCCTCAAGCTCCATATGAAACGCCTGCCGCTTGCTCTCGCAGTCGTGCAACTGAGGAGCGATGGCAAAAGTGAGGGCGGGGGATGGAGGATCGGGTCATGCAATCACAGCAAGGCGGTGAGTGAAAGTGTTGTAGTAGTAGTACTCATATGGGTGTGTGCGTGTGTGTTTGAAGTGTGTGTGCTTGTGTCTGTACAAGCAGCACGTGTGGCCATATGCCAATGTAGCCAGCTGTTCTCATCCCATCACGCTTCAACACCACCTTCTCCCTCACACAGACAGACAGACAGACAGACAGACACGCTCTCGATATCTTCTTCTGTCACGCCTCCAACGCAGCAGTAGCCCACCTGCTTTGTGAGCACGGTGCGCTCTGCGAGCCAGTTCTGATTCGCCTCCTCGTACTTGTCGCGCAGCGACGCGTATTTCTCGCTTTCCGCCTTTAACTGCGACGACAGCGCTTCCTCCCTGTGTGCGCGTATGTGTGTGGGTGAGTGTGAGTGTGTGTGTGTGTGTGTGAGTGTGTGTTCTTCGTGAGACGAATGGTACTGACAATGCGACATATGCAACATCAACAGCACAGCAAACACACCAGAACAGGACGTATTGTGCGTTGTTCGCACGTACTTTTGTTGCAGGGCGTCGAGTTGTGCTCGGAGCCGCGTCATATCCGCCTTTGTAGCGGCCAAGCTCTCCTGCACACACACACACGCACACACACATCCAAGCGCACACACGCACAAGGTGGAATGTATATTGTCATCCCTTGTCAACACAGCAAAATCACTGTGGTACCACAGTAAGACACGAAACTACAACACCTCCCCACCCCACCTCGCTCCATCCGCCCACCTCTGTAGCACGGTGCTTGGCCTGCGTCTGCATGTTCTTCATCTGGAATTCGCGTTCGCGCTCCTCTGCCGCCTCCACGCGCACGTGCGCCTCTTCAAGCTGCACCTGAAGGTCGTCAATCACAGCCTGCGATGCGCGCGTGCGTGTGTGTGTGCGTGTGTGTGTGCGTGCGTGTGTGTGTGTGTGTGTGTGTGTGTGTGTGTGTGTGTGTGTGTGTGTGTGTGTGTGTGTGTGTGTGTGTGTGTGTGTGTGTGTTAGAATGGTGGAACATAGCTGGTGACGGAGTTGCGACAAACACACAAGGTCAGCGCTGAAGAACACCAGCACAGAGCAGTCCACGTGTCACTTCTTGCTCTCATTCGTACTCCAAACCTCAAGGGAGGCGCGTTGTTTGGAAGAAGCGTCCTGCAGCGTCTGTATTCTCTTCATCAGTGGTTGGCTGGCCTGTCACATGCACAAAAGCATACATATGTGTATGTGAGATACAACAATTGCGCTTGCACACGCCAGGCATTACAAAGGTGCGGTGGAGAACTGGCGTTCTTGCAAGCAATCAAGCAACCACGCGTGTGCATGCAAGCAGCGTCGAACAAAACAGCAAAAACAGAACAAGATGTGTATGTGCACACCTGGGTGATGCCCTCCGAGAGTTCTTGCACGCGCTCTTCACTCATGCGGAGTTTGTTGCGGAGATCTGGCCGGAAACACAAGGCAGAGACGGGAAGAGAAGACGTGAGTGGGTGAGGGAGGAGGACAGGCTGAGGGGGGAATGAGGAGGCGGAGAGAAAGGGCATGTGTGTGTGTGTTTGTGTGTGTTTGTGTGTGTTTGTGTGTGTGTGTGTGTGTGTGTGTGTGTGTGCGTGCGTGTGTGTGTGTGTGTGTGTTCACACTTGTGCAAAGAGTTTGAAAAAGAGGTGGGCAGGGGTGGCGGCGGATTAATGAAGGATTAATATCGCCATGAATGAACAAAGAGCGGGAAGCATACGGGGGCGAATAGCAAGGAGAAGCACCACACGCAAGGCGTGTAGGAAGAGATACAAACACGTTCAACACGTGAAGGTACAAGCACACACAAAATGCAAGGTCATAAAAATGAAGGTGCACACACACGTGCACATGTGATACCTGCGATGCTCTGCTCGTAGTCTGCAGCTGCGTTTTGTTGTCCGCTTTGCAGGCGCGACACAGACGCGCGCAAATCATCAATCTGCTCAGGGCAGTCGTGGTGGCCATGAAGGGTTGGTCGATGCGTGATGATGAGACGATGAAGTGGTGGAATTGTACTTGTGGCTTCACACATTCCGTTCACAATGTAAACAAACAGGTGCACATACACACACATACACACACCTGCATTTCGTAATCGCGTCGTTCCAGTTGCATCATCTTGTCCTTCTCTTGCAGTTGCGCCTAAAACGCACACATACACATGTGTGTGTGTGTGTGTTTGTGCAGCGAATGAGTGGTGAGCATGTCCCAAGACCTTCGTGCTCTGTGTTCACCACTCCCTTCCAACCCCACAGGCACACATGCACACAGACACACAGATACATGCACGCATACACACAGACACATACCCCAGTACACGCTGCAGTGTGGGTAGGTCACCTGGAGTGTCTGCTGTGCGGATATGCTGGCGGATGTCGTCGCCTGCTGCGCCCTCTCCTCTGCATCCAACTTCGCTTGCTCAAGCTGCGTCACATCCTGTTGCGCTGTCTCCAGTGCGCACCCAAGACATTTGCAGTTGTTTCCGACAAGCGCGCACACACATGAGAGTTCCGTGCAAGCACATGTGTGAGGGTCATGATAGGTGCAGACACGGAGGGCCGCAGCCGAGTCGGCGAAAGACACAGAGTGGACACACACACACACACACACACACACACACACACACACACACACACACACACACACACACACACACACACACACACAGAGTTGCACAAGTACACACACACACACAGTTGCACAAGTACACACACACACACACAGTTGCACAAGTACACACATACACACAGCTGCACAAGCACAAACACAAACACACATGCACACACAGGGTGCCCACCCTTGTTGAGAGCAGTCTGCAGGGCGGCGTTGTGTTCTGCAAGTTTCGCCAGTTGCGCGTTTGCTTCCTCCAGCTCCTTCGTTTGGGAGGCCGCCACAGCAGACACTTGCGACGCATCCTGGTTGCCGTCATTGGCAGTGCATTGCATGCAGGCACGCGGGATTGCACGCAACACGAGTCAGACACATGTGAGCACGCGTGTGTGTACATGCCATCAAACGCACGCGCAGCACAATCCTGCATTCATCAAACACATTGACACAATTGTACACACAGACACGCACGAAATACATACGCACACGCACGCAAACACACACACACACACGTGTGTTCACCTCTTGGTATTTTCGCTGCATTGTTTCCTGTTGCGCCAACTTTTCCTCAAGCTGTAGTCGCAGCGAAACAACACACGCATGAATGGATACATGCACGCACGCATACACGGATACATACATACACGGGTACATGCACGCACGCATGCGGACACACACGTATGCATATACCCGTACACACACACACACATATGTAAATGTGCACACGGAACGAGCAGCAACGAATGAGTGGAATCATGCGTGATGAGGAGACACAGTACCGTTGAAGCGGACACCACAGCGACACACTTGGGAAGTCGATAGCACACACACACACACACACACACACACACAAACACACACACACACACACACACATCGACGTTGCAGATGCAAGCATCACACGCACCTCCACAACCCGCGCTTGTGCTTGGGAGAGCTTCTTGTTGACAGACACCAGCTGCTGCTCTGTCTCCTGTGTAAACGCACACGTGAAGATGGAGAGAGCGAATCAACGTGTTGACAGACAGCAGTCACCACAAGACATGACATGCGAATATGGTATGACAACAACCACAACGGCCACAGCGACGACCACCACCAACAGCACCACCAACAGCAACACTGACACGCACGCCACACCGTGACCACCAGGGCACCTTGTTCTTCTTCTGCAGGGCCTTGTTGATGCGGGCGGAGTTGAACTGCTTCTGGGAGAGCTGCTTCCCCTCTGCCAGCAGCGCCGCAATCTGCTGGTCCTTCTCCACCAGTGCCCGTGCCATGTCGTCCTCGTGTTGCCCGCTCGACTGCACGTGCTCAGACCACAGCTGCCGTGACGGTGGCGGTGATGGCGGTGATGGCAGTGGTTGTGGTGATGGTGGTGATGGTGTTTAGATGTGAGGATTCATGAAACGGTTAGGTGGATTAGGGCGCAGTGAAGGAAAGGGTGGGGATGGAAGGCGCACCACATGCCATGACGGCACCGTCTTGACTGATGGATGCACGAAGGCGTTGGTGCTGCTTGCACATGTCCCAGCTCAAACCAACACGCCAACGCGCAAAGGGGACAACAACAACAACTCGATACCACAGCAAGACACGGACGGACAGACTTGTGTGGACGGACGCTGTTCAAACGACAACTTAAACAACAACAACAACAACAACAACAACAACAACAACAACAACAACAACAACAACAACAACAACTGAAACAACAACAACAACTTAAACAACAACAACAACTGAAACAACAACAACAGCAACAACAACAACTTAAACAACAACAACTTAAACAACAACAACAACAACAACAACAACAACAACAACAACAACAACAACAACAACAACAACAACAAGTCGTGCTCACCTGTTCGTAGTTTGCCTTGAGCGTATCACGTTCTCTGCTCACTGTCTTCAGCCGCGCCTCCAGCTTGCCCATGCGCGCGCTGAACTCCGCACGAAGCACCTCAAGCTGCGCGTATACGTGCGTGTGCATGTGTGCGTATGTGTGCGTATGTTTGCATGTGTGCGTATGTGTATAAGCATGTGTGGGCAGTTGCAATAAATGCATGGGCTTCAAGTTGTGCGGAAGCAAACAATATCAGGGAGAACAGAGGGGCTGCACATGCGTGAAAACGCGAGACGCACACGCACACGCACATACATACACGTTGTCTCACCTCCGTTTCACTGTCACCCTCGCCATCGTCATCATCACCATCATCGTCATCACCACGAGTAGCGTCTTCAGCAGCATCGTCATTCACAGCAGAACCATGCCTTGCATCCTGGTTGCGTGTGTCATCCCCACCACCATCATTGCCTTCTCCATCATGACCGTGTTCATTGGCACCACCAACGTGTCTCCCTCCCAGTGCGACACCGCCACCACTGTTGCTGCCACCACTGTTGCTGCTACTGCCCATCTGCTCCACAGCTTCGGTAGTGGCGAATTTGTCCTCATGACAGTGTTGCTCCTCCTGCTCCTGCCCCTGCTTCGTGTCCTCGTCATCGCCCGCCAGCACGGCTGGGCCCTGACCCGGGCCGCTGTGCTCCTGGGTCAGTTTGTCGCTCTCTGATGCTTGTGCCTGCTCGCGTTGCTGCTGGTGCAGGGCTTGCGTGCCTTGTTCTGCAGAGACAGCCAATGAGGTGTCCGATGCACCCGCGTGCCCGTTGCCAACTGTACCATGCGGCAACGGCTGTGCTCGATGCGCAGACGTGGCGGCGTCGTTGTCATCGCCGCCGCTGCCGCTTCCAGACGACGGGCTGGCTGTGCTGTCCGTGTTGGCACTCGAAGCGGGGTTTGCATTGCCGCTCACCCCTGCACCCGGCTGCTCTGCTGCTGGCGCAGACACGTCATCCCAATCGCTAAACTCCTGATGACGCGTACGTAATGGCGCGTATATGTGCACACGTGTTTGCAGACATGGTTGCGCACATGCGTATGTGTGTATGTGAGTGTTGACGTTTGGTTGCGCGCATTCATCGTGTGCGCGCACGGGCATTGTATGCATTGTGTTGTGAGTTGCCTCTGCATGCGGCGTGAAATGCCCCATGTACGGAAAGAAAGGTGTGGTTGTGTGCCACGCAAGATCGATCAGCCGCATGAGTCAGAAGACGCACCTCATCTTGGCTCTGCCTTGAGCTGCTGCGTTTGCTCCGCCGCCCAAGTCTGCCTGCAGAGTGTTTTTTCTTTGGGGTTGCTCGCTGTGAGGTGGTGCGGCCCAACTTTCCCCGCGCTGAGCTGCTGCTGCTGCTGATACTGCTCGTTCGAGCAATTGGCTGCGTGTTGGCGGTGGTGTCGTCGTCTTCTGGTGGGGTGTCATCTGGTTCCCCGGCAAGCACAAGCTCCGGCGGCAACGCTGACGGCACTTGTGATTTGGCTTTGTTTTTCTTGTTGTCTGTGAGTTGGAGGGCATAAAGAGCAAGGAGGGGAGCAGCGATGTGCGTGAACACACGAATGAGAGTCGTGTCGGCTGCGTGCTGATCATGTGTATGTGTGTTTGTGTGTGTATGTGTATGTGTATGTGCTTGTGTATGTGTGTATGTGCGTGTGTATGTGTGTGTGTGTATGTGTGTGTGCAGCAAACAAACAACCCAGCAAGCAAGCCCACCACACCTGAGAACAGCGTGGAGGGATCTTCCTGGATGTCCAGCGTCTTGTCAATCTGCTTGACGACGCTCTGTAGCCATGATGTCATGGTGCCAACTTCCTCTCTTCCTCTCTCTCTGCTGCTTCAGCCAAGCCGACAAGCAAAAGGTCGCACAACTCGCTCGCTCGCTTCGTTGATGTCGTTCTTCTTGGTTGTCGTGCCGATTATTTATGCAAGTTTTGCGCAAATCGCCAAGACTTGCACTTGCCAAGATGAGCGAGAATGGTGGTGCGAACAGCGGCACGACAGCAGGGTCCGCCAACAGTGCCCAGCGTGGTGGCGTTGGAAAGCTGAGCAGTAGGGAGGAAGAGCTGCGGCGTGTGTTTCGAGGATTCCAGTCGCTCTTCCAGCAAGCGGAGCAACCTGCACGTCGCAAATTTCCCCTTGAGTGGTATGAAAGAGAGAGTGCGTGTGTGTGTGTGTGTGCTTGTGTGTGTGTGTGTGTGTGTGAGTGTTCTTGTGTGTGCGAGTGAGTGCGTGCTTGTGTGTGTGTGTGTGAGCGAGTGAGTGTTGTTTGTACTTGTGGGTGTTCTTTGTTTGTGCTTGTAGCGTGTGTGTGTGTTCCTTGTTCTTGTGTTTGTGCTGTTGTCTGTGTGTGTGCTTGTATGTGCGATTCATCGTTGTATACTTGCGCGCTTGTGTTTTCGTGGCCCCACACGCTGGAGCAATGTAATGTGAGGCTCGTTTGTTTCCTGTTGCTGTGCTTGCACCTGCGCCTGCGCTGGTAAGCTGACTTGTTGAGTTTGGTTTGTTGGTGACGTGCAATGTCAGGCATGCTGGTCGCTTGTTCCTGGCGCTGTTGACACCCATGGTGACCTGGGCTGGGCTCAAATATGCGGAGTGGAAACTGACGGCCAAACACAACGGCAGCAGCATTGAGGAAGAGCTTGGCAGGCGAATGGGCGGTATTGTTACCGAGGATGGTGACACCAGCGAGGTATGCAACCGCGCACGTGTGTGTGTGTGTGCATGCGCGTGTGTGCGTGTGCTCTGCTTGTGCTTGTGTGTTTGTTTGTGTGTTTGTGTATGTGCTGCATACGTTTGTTCACTTGCGCGTTCTCCCTCTCTCTGTCTGTGCCTGTTTGTGCTTGTCTGTCTGGTTCTCTCTCACTCTCTCGCTCTCACTCACACACACACATACACACACACACTCTCTCTCTCCCTCTCCCCTGTGTTGGGTTGTTCCTGCTCGCCATTCTGTCTTATCGCTGCTTTGTTGCGTGCACTCTACTTGCAGACGTCGACGGCAGGGACATCTTGGTCACAAGAACACAAGACCCAGCAACTTGATGAAAGATTACAGTGAGTGTCCTCTGTCTCCTAGACATTGCATGCAACGTGCTTAACTGCCACGTGCACACATGTGCCTTTCTTCCCACACGACGTACGCTCACGCGCTTACTGCTCTCTGGCGACTTTGTTCGAGCGCACAGGAATGTTGAATCGAAGCTGGGCACGCTGCTGTCCATGCTGGGCACGCAACAACAACAACAACAACAACAACAGCAACAACAACAACAACAACAACAACAACAACAACAACAACAACAACAACAACAACAGCAACAACAACAACAACAACAACAACAACAACAGCAACAACAACAACAACAACAACAACAACAACAGCCAACAGAGGGTTCAGTGGATACTCGGGATTCCAGTAAGCCAGAGTCAGCTCGTGCACAACAGTCGTCATCGTCATCGCGACCCTCACCATCATCAGCATCATCAGCGACAGCAGCAGCAGAAACACCTTCGCAGAAGCCTCCACCATCGGCGTCGTAGTGTTGCATGCATCATACTGATCTTGAGATGTCGCTTCATGTCTACCGCCGTCACAGCTTCACACCGATAGTTTGCCAATGTCGTGTCTGTGCATGCCACCCTTATTTGGTTCTTCTACCCCCATGACCCCCCCCCCAACTATGCGCGCATCCTCGAGCTTCCCTTCCCCTCTTCTCCATCGGCGTCACGCAATTTCCACAGCAACTAGTGTAATAACAGCAGGAACAGCCTGGTTGTTGCAAGTACACGTGTCACACCAAAGGTCCGCCATAAAGCCAGACGCACAGCCGTGCACACACGCAAACATAAACATGTATGACGGAGCGCCGTTTACGCGTGTAAACCGCTTGTGTCAGACAGTCACACATGGGGGCAACGTGTTCAACTATTGAATCTCTCCACATCAGAGTCCACGAGAGCGTGTCAGTTGGACGAGAAGCGGGCGTGGCCCCCTCATGCCTTCTTGGAAGATGCTTTCGCCATGGTGTTGATGCGCTGTGTGTACGCAAACTCTTGCTCCTGAAGCAGACAAGCACGACACGTGAGGGGTTCAAACGTGACACGCACAAGTGGTGTGTGTAGTGTGTGTGTGTGTATTGTATGTGTGTGTAGTGTAGTAGTGTAGTGTAGTGTGTAGTGTAGTGAAGTGCAGTGTAGTGTAGTGTAGTGTAGTGTAGTGTAGTGTAGTGTAGTGAAGTGAAGTGCAGTGTAGTGTCATGTCGTGTACACTTGCAGGTGCACGTGCATGGCAAGCGGCGTACGCACGTGTGTGATGTAAGGGTTGGAGAGGATAACGTGGTTGTTTGCGACGCGATCAAAGTACTTCATGGTGTTTTGTTTCCGGGTTTGTGAGTATTTCCAGATCTTGCGGTCCTTGCTGCACGGTGGACGCGCGAGACAAAAACAAAACCAAACGCACACGCGTGTCACAAGTGGGTTGTGTTGTGTAAGAAAGAGCATCAAAGCGTCAAAAGGAAAAAGAAAAAAGAACAACAACACATGCACATCCACGACAAACACACCCGACACACGCATGCACAGACACAAACAAACATACACGACAAATCCACACGCATGTACACGCATGTGCATGCACATCGACGACAAACACACCCGACACAGACACAGACACACGCATACACACGTACCCGATCCATTGCCTGCCGGAGAAGGCACGGCTGCTGAGTGCCACCAAGCTGCGCCTCATTGTCTTCTTCCTCCCTTTCCTTCTCGTCGTGGTGTGTTGCAGGCAGCGTGTTGTGAAAATTGACCAATATCACCAGCAAAAAATCTGCTTGGCGACAACGCTACCTCGAACCTGGGGCGCCACAACCACACACAACAACACACGCACACGCACGCCCCGCACTCACACTCGCTGCCTCTCAGCCATCCACTCCAGCCAGCACTGAAGCTGTTGTTGTTGTCTGTGCAGTGCACTGTGAACTCTCTTCATCACCCTGTCGTTGTGTTGTTACCAAAAACTTCGCCTCCTCCCCTCCCGCTCGTAGAAGAAGCAAGGAGAAGTGATGACAACCCCAATCACAACCGCAGAGATGATGGAGGAGATGGGCAGCATGGTGCACGAGGATCCACCCGCCATGGACCTGCAAGATCACCCGCTCCACATGCACGTGCGTCTCAAGAACAAGACAAAGGTCACAGAACTTTTGGACGCAGGCGCTGATCCAAACGCATGTGCAGAAGGCAATGTCACGCCGCTCATGTGCGCCATTGTCGAAAACTCTCAAGTATGTTGTGTTGTGTTGTGGTGTGTTTTTGGGGTGTTGTGTTGTGCTGAATACGCCGACTTGGTTGCATTGTTATGCGTATCCGATCAACAAGCGTTGCGTGCGTGTGCGGGTCTCACCTTGATATGGCTTGCGTTGACTGTGTTGCGCTGCACCGACAGGACCTCGTGCAATTGCTGGTATCGCGTGGTGCAGACCTGAACTTTCAGGATGAGGATGGCCTGTCCCCCTGCCATTGGGCTGTCACTCACCAATACCACAGCGTACGTGAGGAGAGCGTTGGGGGGTGGGGAGGGGGAATGGATGCGGGCGCACGTGTGTGTGTGTGTAAGTACGTGTGTGCATGTGTGTGAGCATAAGTGTGCACGTGTGTGTGTGTAAGTACGTGTGTGCATGTGTGCATAAGTGTGCACGTATGTACATGTGCGTGTGTACATTTGCGTGTGTACCTAAGTGTGTACATGTGTACGAGCATGTGTGTGCGTGTGTGTGCACGTGTACACGTCGTGGTTTTGTGCCCGACACCGTGTGTTTTTGCACGTTGTGAGCAAGACGTGTGTGAGGTGTGATATTGATGCCCATCTGTCTCATGGGGCAAATGGATGTTGTGCCATGGTGCCCTGGGCTCACTTGCTGGCATGTGTGTGTCCATCCTGCAGTTGTTGAAGCAGCTGTTGAAACTTGGAGCAAACTGTGGCCTGCCTGACAAAGATGGGCGCTCCCCAGTGCACTGGGCCACAACAGTGGAGAGCACAAAGTGCCTCCAGCTCTTGTGCAAGAACTTGGCACGAACAGCACCTGCAGAACTTGACGCCAAGGACATCAACGACATGACTCCCTTGGTCCGTGCGTGTGCGTGTGTGTTTGAACTCTTCGCTTCAATCGTTTGCTCCTGTTGCCCACCTTCGTTCTCCCTCTTTCGCAACCACCCACCTGCTATCCCGCTGCCCGCTCGCTTCATCTCGCGCATGCGTGTACTCACGCACAACCACACGCACACATGCATTTACACGCACACAAATACATACAAACACAACCACACAAACATATATACACACAACACACGCTGCAGTTGTGGGCGGTGACGCAGAGCAAACCGCGGCACGTGAATGTTCTGCTCAAATACGACATTGACATTCAAGGGCGCGACCGCTTTGGCCGTTCAGCGGTGCTCTGCGCTGCAGAGTTGGAGGACAGCACTTGCATTCAGTACGCTATCGTTGGTGGTGGTGGTGGTGGTGGTGGTGATGGTGGTGCTACTGCTGCTGCTGCTCCTGGTTGTCGTGTTTTCCACCACGAGCTTGTGTTTGTACAACCGACGTGTCTCGGTTATTTGGTTTTTCATTGCATCGAATCTCACGCTCATGCTCAAATCGCTGGCGCAACAACACCAACAACGCAGGCTGCTGCTTGAAACGACGACAGAGCACCTGGAAGACACAGACGATCAGGGCCGAACGCCACTCATCATCAGCGTCGCAAACCGTACGTTCCCGTATTCATGTGTGTGCGTGTGTGTTTGTGCGTGCGTACGTGTACACGTGGTTGTGTTATGTTTCCATCTGTTCGCTCTGCGCCGCCGAAAGTTGATTTCGTGAAATTGTTGCTGCAAGGATCAGCGTCTTGCACTCACATACACAACCAACCAACCAACCAACCAACCAACCAACCAACCAACCAACCAACCAACCAACCAACCAACAGAGCGGGTAAAGTCGGTGAAGCAGCTGCTGTTCTCTGGTGCGAATGTCAATGCACAGGACGAGAGTGGACACACGGCGCTGCACTGGGCATGCGCCCTCGGGGACACCAAGCTCTCCACCATGTTGCTCAATGCTGGTGCAGATCCGCACGTCACAGACAGCCAGGGCCTCAACTGCCTCCACTACAGCATGCAGGTACACCCCCTCATACACACACGCACGCACACAAACGCAAATGACTTGAACACATGGACACATCCGTGTACAACCAACATCCCCCACACGCGCGCACGAGACTCATGCATACACCAATGTCATGCGACGCCTCGTGTTCTCGCCTCGCAACTGCACTGCTTGTTGCTGTCGTTGCAGGGGGAGGCAGGCATTGTGGCCCTGCTGGCCAAGGAAATGACATCTCTGGATGACGTCACGCGCGATGGACAAAACGCGTTTATGTTAGGCGCCATTGCCGGGTCTCTTCCTCTCCTGCGCGCACTCCTCGCGACGGGGAAGCAGATTGGCCTCAACGCCGCAGACAACGACGTCAGGGCTTGTCGCTGTTGTTTAAGTTGTTGTTTAAGTTGTTGTTGTTGTTTAAGTTGTTGTTTAAGTTGTTGTTGCTTGTTGTTGTTGTTGTTTGAGTTGTTGTTGTTTAAGTTGTTGTTGGTTACGCATGCACGTGCAATGCTTCGCATTGATGCATGTTGTGGTTGTTCAAGTCGTGCCGGGCTTCGTTGCCTCATGCCTTGTGTATTGTGTTGCATCTTGTTGGCTGTTTGCACAGGGCCGGACTGCACTGCACCTCGCGTTTATGTCAGAGGCAAAGGAAGCCGCGCAGTTGATTCTCTCGTGCAATGCTTCGCATTGATGCATGTTGTGGTTGTTCAAGTCGTGCCGGGCTTCGTTGCCTCATGCCTTGTGTATTGTGTTGCATCTTGTTGGCTGTTTGCACAGGGCCGGACTGCACTGCACCTCGCGTTTATGTCAGAGGCAAAGGAAGCCGCGCAGTTGATTCTCTCGCTCCCGTCCATCGACGTCAACACCCAAGACAACGATGGCAAGGTGCAGTCGCATAGGAGATGCTATCATGTCTCTTGCGCAAACAACAGCCCGTGTTTGTCTCAAACGTATCACGACGCACGAGACACGTCTTGACACACACACACACACATATCACACACACACACATATCACACACACACACATATCACACACACACATATCACACACACACATATATTTCACACACATTTCACACACACATGCATTCCACACATATGCATTCCACAAACACACCCTCACATGCATCTTACACACACATGCGCGCATACACGTGGTGGACTGACGCCTCTATTTAGGTGCCCGCATTCTACTGCCTTGAGTCTGGATACACGGAGCTGTTAAAGGCGCTGGAGGAGCAGGGGGCGGTGTTGAGTCTGCAGGACAACGACGGGCAGTCGCTGCTGCATTTGGCCGCCATCCACGGCAACACCGCCGCAATGCAATGGCTGCTGCAGGAGGGACTCGATGCTGGTGAGAGCAGAGCATGTGGTCACACTCGCACTCACGGGTGCTCGAGACACTGCGCCAAGTTTGCTTCACATGAACTTGGACACACACACACACACACACACACACACACACACACACACACACACACACACACACACGCACACACACACACACACACCCACTGACATGCACACACGCACTGACATGCACACACACACACACGCACTGACACACACACACACACACACGCACTGACACACACACACACACACAACACTCGACTTTATGATTGGAACCACGACGCCGTGGCTCAATGTTCTCACGCTGTTGCGCCGCACCACGTGCAATACCTTATGGTCCCAATTGCAGACTTGACAGACAACGACGGCAAGACAGCGCTCGCGTATGCCGCGCACATGAATGTCGTTGACGGTGTCGCCGTTCTGCTGGATCACGGCGCTGATGTGTCCCTGCCGGATCCAGATGGCGTCACGCCGCTCCACTGGGCCGCGCTACAGGTGAGCTCGCTTCTGCCATGCTGCTACGCACACGTTGGAAGCATGCGCTCGCTTGTGAGAGTGTGCACTCTCAGCTCCGTGTGGGGTCATGTTGATGGAGACTTTTGACCTCGTTGACATCCTACACTCCATTTCATTCCCCAACACACACACACACACACACACCTACTCATGTTATCGTACACACTCACGCGACTTTTCATGCACCTACACATTCACTCGCACGCATTCACTCACATCTAGGGCAACAAAGACGTGGTTGAGATGCTTCTGCTGAATGGTGCTGCTGTAAACGCTCGTGAAACAAACGGGAACGAGTCGACACCGTTTGACTACGCCATGTTCGCCGCGCATGAGGACATTGCAGCCCTCATCGTGAGTGCACGCTCGCTTCCACGATGCTACAACACAAGCTCAATGCACGGCATGACATGCATCGTGTTGTTGCAGCTTGCTTTGTTTCTCCGCCACCCCCATTACACCCGGACACATTCACAAACACACAAACACACAAACAAACACACACACACACAAACATACGCGCATGCTCAAACACATACGCGCACGCGCTGTCTGTCTTGCTCACCATGGTGTGCTGCTCGTGGCGTTGTCTGCTTCTTCTTCTTCTTCTTCTTCTTATGCAATGCCCAGTCTGAGCATGGTGGCCACGGGATCCTTGACCTAAAGGACATTGCGGCCAAGCGCATACAGCGCAGCTTTCGGCGGTGGCGCAAGCACAAGAACGCTGGCAGCACTGGCAGCACGGGCGATGGTGGTGTGAAGGCGGGGGAGTCAGTGGATGTGCACGAGAAGAAAGCCGTGGCCGAGGCTTCCTCGAAGAAGAGCAGTGCTGGCAGCAGCGACAACAGCAAGGGGAAGGGAGCGCAGGCGGAGAGGAAGGGACGGGCTGTGAAACAGAAGAAGAAAAAGCAAGTGACGCGCAAACCGACGGCGCAGGAAGTGGCAGCGGCTGTACGCATCCAAGCACGCATCCGTGGGTACAAAACACGCAAGGAGTTTGCAGTGCTCAAGCAACAGGCCATGGACAAGCAGAAACGCGTGGCGCAAGAAGAACAGAGAAAGGCCGCCATTGCACAGTAAGAACATGCTGTTGCACGTGATTGATTGATTGTTTGCTTGCATTGCTTGTTTGTGACGCGTGGGTGTTCATGTGCAAGGTGGACGTACACTTACACTTGCCTTGTCACTTCGGGCTTCACATGTGCCATGTTACATTCCGCGCCACCAACAGGGCCAACGCTGCGAATCAGGCAATGGTGCGCGCAGCCCAGCAGCGCCGCGACGCCGTGCGACAGGAGCGGAAACGCCTCTCCTGTGTCCGCGAGTCGATGAATGTGCGTGGCCTGAAACTTGCACACGCACACTTCCTCACACACACACACACACACACACTCTCTCTCTCTCTCGTGTGCTTGTGCTAATGGACACACACACGCACGCGCGCGCGCGCACACACACACACACACACACACTCACTCACTCATACGTGTCCGTGGGCAACTTCTTCTCTGTCTGCGTGTGCACACCATCATCAGGCGGCGACGGTGATTCAGCGGGCGTTCCGGAGATGGCGGCTGCAGCCGAAGAAGACAGACACAAGTCAGTCACCAGCAAACACATCAACACGAGGCGTTGGAAAGGCGCGCGCCGGAACGCAGCGGGCGCAGGCATCACAGCGCGGGCGACAGCAGCAGCGGAAACAAGGGCGCACACCATCGCGAACACCACGAGAAAATGCCGCATCAACACGGCGGAAAACGCCACAGCGACTCTCTCCTCTCAAATACTCCGCCATCCAGCGCAAGGTCGGGCAGCCGTGCCGTGTATGAGCAGTTACGTGCATGTGTGTGCGTGTGTGCTTGCTGGATGCGTGTGTGCACGCGTGTGCGCGCAACATAGTGTAACATATGGTGTGTACATGCGTGCATGTACACGCACTCACCCACTCACGTACGCACACACACACACACACACACACACACACACACACACACACAACACACACACACACATATGTGCAGCTGCGCCGGCCAAAGTTTCCGAACACGTACACGGCTGGACGCGGGTATCTGAATCAGGACTTGGCGGCGCTTGCTTCCGTTGATCCGCAGTTGCGGGCAGCACTGCAATCTCGCACGCGTCGTGTGAGCGGAACCTCAACAGCCGCGTCAACACCACGCAGGTACTCGCAGCCGGTGGGCAGCAGTTCGAGGATGGTTGGCAATGGCAGCAGGACCAACAACAGCATGCGCCACTACACCTCGGTGTCGGAAGTGCCGCTCAGCCCCACATCTCCTGTGAGCAAGCGAATGAGCGCCGGCGATGCGGCGTTCTTGTCCTCCAAGTTCAACACGGACCTTCAAGTTTCCTTGAAACGGCAGGCACAATCGCTCAGATTGAAGGTGCGCAATGTCACCCTCTGCTGTGCGAAGACTGTACAGGCTGACACACACGCACACACACACACACACACACCGCATACTGGCTCGCACACACACACACACACACACACACACACACACTCGCACGCACGCACGCACGCACGCACGCACGCACGCACGCACGCACACTCCCTCCCTCCCTCACTCACCCACACGCATGCACATAATGTTTTTTTTTCCATGGTGTGGCTACAGCAATCTTCAAGAAATGGAGTACGTCAAGAGAGCAACGTTGTCACACTCCCTGCCATTCACTCTGTGACGCTGTAATGCACCAACACCCTTTTCTGATGCAGCTCCACTGCTTGCACCTGAATGTATCACGCACCCACTCCCTCCATTGTGAGTGCGAAAGCGAAAAGCGGTGCCCTTCCATACGACCATCCATCCTCTTTGCGTGCTTTCCTGTTTGTACATAGCCAATTCATCCGACACGCATGCTCGGTGTTGTTATCTTGACTGATGTGAATCGTCGTCCTATCTATGAATCCTGTTCCTTCTCAAGCCCCCTCTCGTTGCTGTCTTTCCTTTCCACCACTCGCCACATAAACAGCACAGCTTGTTGCAACTTACACCAACTGGTGGATACGTGTAATGTCGAGTCGCCCCCATTATACCAAGAGGGCGTGCAATCAATCACATCGTGATCCCAGCCCCCCAAGTATGTCTGGACAAGCAAAACGACCACAATCCGACACGTGCATGCCACCGAAAATGGCTGAAACACAGGGACACACGCACACACACACAGATACACACACACACAGATACACACACACACACGCACGCACGCAGTTACAGACACACGCATTCATTTGTCGTTCTCAACCATGGCTTGGCGAAGGAAGAACAAAAACACGGCCCTGGGCAGGCCGGTGGCAGCAGAGCGCATGATCTTGTGCAGCTGCTCATCCTTGTTCACGTCCCCGCCAGGGTCTGGCGTGACGCACGACAAGCGTCGATACCACATGCCAAGGAAGCGTGCAAGCGTGCACATGCGGTCTGTTGCTTCGCGCGATTGCATGGCGATTATGAAGCATTCCAGCAACTTGGCCTGCTGTCCCCACAACTTGTTGAGCGCCGTGAACAAAATGCCCACGTACTCAAGGCTCTCGTCCGTCTGTACACAAGCGCAAGTTTGAGCAGCAGGGGCATGTTACGTACAGCGGTGCAGCCAAACGCACAGAGAGTTGGTGTTATTCCGATGAACGCAAGCCGCGTGCAACGTATGACACAGGAAACAAGTTAGAGCTTGACACGCATGCAAAAGCCACACAGACACAGACACACGAACACATTCACAGACACAGACACACACACACACACGCTGACAGGCACAGACAGACAATAGCACGACATACACAGACAAATAACACGACGTACTGGGGCAGGGATGCGCTCGGGGTAGCGGAACAGTGAGGTGATGACGGCCACGACAATGACAATGGCAAGGTGGGTGCGGGTGACCTCGGAGCCGACGGCAAGTGGCAGCGTCTTCTTCTACAGAAGGGCAAACCGTGCATCCAAAAGGAAAAAAGATGAACAACGACCATCAATTGTCATGGAGGAGCATGGGTCATCAAGCAAGCAACGACCGGACAGCCAATGCGCGATGGAACGCAATGTGCGTTGGAGCAAACGCACAAACAGCTTTTGCGCACCATTGCCACCAGCACACACACACACACACACTCACAACCCGCAGGGTGTGCACGGGATCGGCAACGCTGCCAAAAGCAGCGACAAGATAGGACGCGTACCGGGAGGTCAATGATGACGTCTGCAAGTTGTACGCCGTGCTCGTCATCGGCCAGCGATTGACACAAGAACAGGGCAGCTCCCTCCAGCTGTGAACCCACAACCTGCAGCAGCTGCTCCGACACGCCAGATTGCTTGTGCGCAGCAAATGCAATCTGGCGCTGTGCACGCGGCATGGCATGACAATGCAAAAGTCACGCAGGAACGTGAGTTATGTATGAGTGAGAGTGAGGTGTGTGTGTGTGTGTGTGAGTGCGACGGTGTAAGCAGAGTGTGTATGTGTCAGTGTACACGCTCCTGAAACCGCATGACGGAGAGGAGAAACAACGCGCGCTCAATGCGCACACACGGCGAGGACAGCATACACACACACACAGGCATGAAGTGCGTCGCTTACAACAGTGGGTTGGTTGGGAGATGGCTTAGTGGGCGCGGCTTCGTTGCTGGCTTGACTTTCAGCACCGTGTCCCTCCGAATTGTCTGTTGAATGTGCTCCTTTCTCATCTTTGTCATTGTCATCAATTTCTTGTGCCTCCTCCTCTTTGTCCTTATCATCATCATCATCATCATCATCATCATCATCATCATCATCATCATCATCATCATCATCATCATCATCATCGTCATCGTAGGCGTCATCGCCACCATCTTGGTCACCGCCTCGGCTTTGCTGCCCAGGAACGTGCCTTGCCAGCTTGGACGGTGGCGGCTGCGGCACAACTAATGCCCCGAGAGGTGGGAAACTGGCGTCTGCAAGGGACATCCCGCTTGACGCCGGGGTGCGACGGTCTGATTCCTCATCAGCACGCACACCACGCTCGATGCCTCTTCCCCCCTTCCACCGTTGCCCACGCCTTGTCTGCATGGCCGTCCCCGCTGCATCATCGCCCGCTGCCTGCGTGTGCTGGTCCTCCGCATGCTCCACCTGCTGGCGCTGCAGCCCCGAGATGGTGCGCGTGATCATGTTCACTTTCTCCTTCAGCGGCGCCATGTCTGGGCGCTCCAAAATGACCCTGAGCTTGTCCCGCAATGCCCGCAGGTCCTCTTCCTTCTCCCCCGTTGGGCCCGTGTTGCTGCGCAGGCGAAGCAGCGTTGCAAGCTCCGTTGGTGACAGCTCCCGCCGCAACGTGGCGTTCATGCGCTGCACGGAAGCTTTGTCTGCTGTTGCGTGCACACCTTGGACAGCGGCGGTGATGGGTGCGGTAATGGTGGTGGTGGCAGCTGTTGTCATGTTGCTCGGCGTTGGTGGAAGTGGTGGCGGCGAGGAGGAGGATGCTGCGGGTGGCGATGACGACGACAATGATGACAGCGATGACGATGACGAGGTAGACGGTGGGGACGTGTGCTGCGGCGTGTGCGCTTGTGTTTGCTGAGGAGATGGAGATGACGAGGACGGCAATACTGGCGGTGGCGGTGATGATTTTGACGCCGATGAGGAGCTCACGCGCTGCACTTGCTCGGGGTGCGTCCTGCTGGCTGCATCCAACACGTCGTGCAGTGGCGAATCGTTGTCGACAGTAATGGCCATCCCAGCACCGTCGTTCGAGTGCGACAGATACGACATGATCGTGTCGACTACAGCAGCGCGCTTGGTGGTGTCGAGGCCAGCAATGGGCACTTCCAGACACATCATCTTCCCATCCTTGGTGCTGCGTTCTCGCAGCTTGGGCGCCGTTGCGGCGGTTGGGGTGGTGGCCGTTGTCGTCGACACAGCGGCGGTTGCTGACGAGGAAGACGGCGATGAAGACGACGGCGTGTTGGCGGCGGCGGCGGCAGCAGCAGCAGCAGCACGCAGCGCCTCTTTGCCGCGTTTGCGTTCCTCTTGTCTGCGCTGTTGCCGCTCGAGCTTCTTCTTGTCCTGCTGCTGCGATTTCCTGCGCACTTGGCTGCCTTGCTTTGCCTGCCTGCCCCGCTGCTTGGATGCCTTTGGTGCACGCTTCCCAGACGAACCCGCCTTGTTCTTCTTCAAACCCTGGCGCCGCGACCGCCCTTGCTGCTTATGTTGTTGTTGTTGTTGTTGTTGTTGTTGTTGTTGTTGTTGTTGTTGTTGTTGTTGTTGTTGCTGTTGTTGTTGTTGTTGTTGTTGTTGTTGTTGTTGTTGTTGTTGTTGCTGCTGTTGTTGTTGTTGTTGTTGCTGTTGTTGTTGTTGTTGTTGTTGTTGCTGTTGTTGTTGTTGTTGTTGTTGTTGTTGTTGTTGTTGTTGTTGTTGTTGTTGTTGTTGTTGTTGTTGTTGTTGTTGTTGTTGTTGTTGTTGTTGTTGTTGTTGTTGTGACGGCTGGGTGTCAACGTCCTTGTTCGTGTCTGTTACAGCAGTAGCAGCCTTTTCATCAACTTCTTGTTGTTGATGCTCTTCTCGTTCTTCGTCCCCACTCTCAACACCATTCTGGCCCACATGCTCGTCCACCTCATCATCCAACTCCTCAGGCTGGCCCATGCCCACTTCATCTTCATCCTCGTCCTCATCTTCTTCGTCCTCTTCGTCCTCGTCCTCTGCATCTTCTTGCACGTTCATGCCATCATCGTTGTCGCCTGCTTCTTCGTCATCATCGTCATCATCGTCATCATCAATGCTCTCCAGGTCATCATCAATCTCCTCGTAATCGCCGTAATCGCCCGCCGTCTCATAGGCGTCACCTTCCACGCGCTGCCCACCAGCATCACCAAACACACTCTGCCACATCCGTGACACAAGATCGCCACCGCCGCCACTGCCATCGCTGTTGTTTGGGGTGTTTGTGATGGTGTTGGTGCTGTTGGTGCTGCCACTGCCACCACCATCTCTCGACATGCCACCAAGCATGCCAAAGCGAGCAAAGGCGTTGGTGGACCCGATCAAGGCGTCGCCACCGCCACCGTCGTCGCTGTAGGCGCTCGTGCTGCTGGTGGTTGACCTTGTGGGCATGCCACGTGGACGGGGCACAGCAGCCGGTGGAGGGAACACCACGCTCGTGCCGGCGTTGGTGGCGGCGCTGGCGTGGGGCGTGGGGCTCGATGGTGCAGATGGTGGAGGAAAGCGGGCATTGAATTCACGCCTCATGCGTTCAATTTCCGCTGCCAAGTGCACGTTACCAAACTCCTCGGCAAGCACGCGACCGAAGGGCCCCGTCTCCTCGCGTGAAGCTGGTGGTTGTGATGGTGGTGGTGGTGACCTTGGGCTGGCACTGTGATGACGGTTCCCAGCGAGTTGTGGCTGTTGAGGTTGTCGTTGCTGTTTGTGAGCGAGCTGCTGTGGCTGCTGTGGCTGCTGTACTTGGTTTTGGTGCTGCTGGTAGTTTTGTTGCTGCTGGTTCTTATGGGACTGTGAATTGCTCTCTGGCTGGGGCTCAGTGTTCCCGCTTTGTCTCCGCCCCTGCTTCTGCTGCCTTGACATCTTGCGGCGCAGCAGTTTCATGGTGCGCTTGCATTTGGGGCACGTGCCGCAACAGCCACGTGCGCCTACGCTGTACAGGTACTGGGCAAGTTCAATGTGGGCGCCCTCAAATGCGATATGCAGCGGCGTGTGCGTGGAGTAGTTGATGGCGTTTACATCTGCGTGTCGCTCCACCAGCGCTTGTGCGCATGGGATGGAGCCCTGAAATGGAGACAATGCGTGTTGACGAGCGAGCACAACGAATTAGGCAGTGGGGGTGTGAGTGAGTGGGGGGCGGGGACACCTGTACAAGGGGTACAAGGAGGAAGTACGCAGGTCAAGCGAAACGGTCGTCGGGGACATGGTGGGGCTTGGGGAACACTCGTACGTTACGGCATGCGCGATGCAGGGGCGTGTCGCCATCATCCGAGGCCGTGACATTAATGTTGTCCATGCGGTCAGCTAAGAGCTGTATCAGCAAAACACACGCAAGAAAGGGTGCCCAAAGCACCGTGAGATGCGTGATGAGAGGACAGACGGGCTGCGACATGCGCATGGATGCGTGTATGCGCAAGCGTATGCGCGCATGCATGCATACATGCATACATGAGACACATGCACGTACACAACACTGGTGCATGCACACACGCGTGAGTCCGAGCACGCACATACACAGAGCCACACACAAGCACACACACACACACAAGCACACACACAAGCACACACACAAGCACACACAAGCACAAACACACACACACACAAGCACACACAAGCACACACGAGCACACAAGTACACACACACCTTGACCGTGGACAGATGACCATTGTAACATGCGGCGTGAAGCGCAGTTCCTGATTTCCGCTCTTTCTCCTTGACGCGGCGTGTTCCCAGTGGCTTGCTCTGGTCTCCAGCAGCCGCTCCACTACTGGTGCAGCTACTGCTGCTGTTGCTACCCCGATTGTTCAAGGCCGACATCCTCACACGCTCACACGACCTTGGAACACAAGTCAAAGATGTGACACACACGCTGCTAAAGAGCGCACGCTTCTGTTTCCTGCTTCTTGCTTCTTACACAGAAGAAATGTGGCCATATCACTGGCCAATTTTCCGTTTCACACAGCTTTGTGGGCGAGTTGGTTGGTGTTTTGGTTTTCCCCGCTCCGTTGCTTTTCCTGCTTCTCTTCTGCGCTGATCAACCAACAACAGACCACCACACCCACCCTTTGTTGCTTGTTGTGCGTTGAGCGTGTGGTTTGTTCTTGTTGTTGGTGCTGTGGCTGACTTGAAGCCATCCCTGCCAAGCCCCAAATCCACCCGCTGTCTCAACGACAGGACAAGAGGCAGCCGCCGCTTGCCGTTGTGCTGTGCCGAAGCCTTCCTTTGCTTGCCGGCCTCTGCTCTTTTGGTTGCTTGCAAGCATTGCTGGCAAAGTGACCATCATCAGTCAGTCTTGTGCAGCAACGGCAGGAGTAGAGCAAAAACAATGACGGAAGAAGAGCAGCAGAGATACCCTTGGATGCATCCCGCCCTGCCACGAGCACAGGCTGAAGGTGCGTGCTGTGGAATGGTTGGTTTTGAGCTGTTTGAGCTGATGTGACCTCCTTCTCGCTGTGAATGCATGATTCAACCTCGCTTTGTTTGGCATTGCAGGACAGTGCTACGCGTTGCACGCACGCACCTGCTTTTTGCCACATCACACTCAGCACCCTGCGCGTTGACTCGCTCCATTATCTCACCAAGCACTTGAGACGTTGGCTTCTCTTTGCGCTCACTTGCTTGCTTTCTTGCCTTCATTGCGCCGCTCTCGCCATCATCATGTAGAGCTGCTGCTGCAGGCGAAGGGCGAGGATGGCCTGTTCTTTCTTCGCGAACGCAACAAGCATCCAGGAGACTATGTCATGTGTCTGCAATTCAAAGGCAGACCGACGCACCACCTCCTGCAACGCAACGACAAGGGCTTGTGGACCATCAACAAGACACAATATGGCGAATGCAGGACACTGGAAGAGGTCTCCAGCCCCGTGCATGTGTCGTGTCTATTGACCGCCCGCAACCTCTCAAACACCGAGCGATCGACCCATGATTATCTGCCTCCTCACCTGCCCGTTTACACGCGCACGCACGTACACGACTGCCTTGATGATGTGACAGGTGATTGAGCACTTGCGAACTAAGCAGCAAGGGTGGCCCGTGGTACTGGGAGACTATGTCCCGAACCTCCTGCACCAACAAAAGCAAGCCGCCGAAAACGGGCATGCGTCGCTATCGACAGCACCACCCGCACAGCAACAGCAGCAACATCAGCAACAACAGCAGCAGCAACAACAGCAACAACAGCAACAACAGCAACAGCAGGCACATACGATTTCAATGACAGCATCTCAAGAGACACCGCCAGAAACGGCAACAAACCCAACTTATTTACACACCGAAAAGAACCAAGAGCAACAGCAGCAACAGCAGGCGGCTGTGCCCAAGCAATCGTCCACCACAACCACACCACCGTCCACTCCAACCACCCCAAGCATGGGCATTGCTGTTGAGCACTTGCCATACTATCACGGAAAGCTGGACCGCAAGCAAGCCGAAGGTGCACACTCACTCACACGCCCGTATCCTTGCAAGAGCTTTTGCTTCCTGGCATGCTTTTGCTTCGTGGCATGCTTTGCTTCCTGCGACTTGCTTTGCTCTGGTACCTGTTTCCTCACACCTCCTTTGCCCTTTCGTTTTGCTTTGTTTTGTTCATCTCACATCACATGTCCCCGCCTTTGCATGCTCCATGGACACAGCAACGCTACAATCCTATGCGGAGAAGGAAGGTCTTTCGTCCATCAACAGCGTGTGGCTGCTGAGGCAGCGTGCAAACTCGGATGTGAGCGTTTGAACCATGTCCTTGTGGGAGCCCCCTTGGTTTGGTTGTGAGCAGTGCTTTGTCGTGTACTTTTCATTGCGAGCTTGACACTGGTGCGCAGGTTCTTTCACAATTTGTTGACCTGACTCACACTGGTTGTCTGTCACACACGATCTGCCTCCCATGCTTCCATTCAGCTTGCCATCACCATCGGGTTTGCCAACAAACCCACCCACCACCTCATCAAGCAAACGAATGGAACCCTGTCCATTAACGCAACATCCACAGATGCCAAAACCGCCGAAGAGGTCTGCACCCTCAGAGTGCGCATGTGTGCGTGTGTGCATATGTGTCTGTATGTAAATGTGTGTGCATGTGTGTGTATGTGTGTGTATGTGTGTGTGTGATCAATTTCTGTGTCATGTGTACAGATCAACAACTCTTGTTTGTGCATTGTGCTGTGGCGCGACCTCACTAAAGAATCTTGCTTCTCGCCCATGATTGCTTAAACCCGGCCGTCCAGTTGATTGCCATTCTCGAGAAGCGGCCCAAGTTCTGGCCGGCAGCCCTGACACACCCCGTGCCGCGAGCAGGGTCGCCGCAACAAGCAGCACCCACCGCATCGTCTGCATCGGCGACAGCAACGACAGCGGCAGCACCCACAGCCACTGGGCACACAAACACCTCGCAGCCGTCAACAGGCACCACTGCCACTACCGCCGCCAACGCAGCACGGTCCACGTCTTCAAGCCAGCCGAAACCAGCACAGACGAAGCAGGCCATCAACGGCATGACGCTCTCGGCAACAGACACAGACAGCAGCAAGCCGCATCAGCAACAGCAAGGACAGCAACCCAGCAATTCATTTGTGGGCATTGCCCCGGAACCGCGCGAAGCGTGAGTTGTCACAATCGTGGTGCTGCGTGACGCGTTGTTTGCGAGGTCTTTCCTTTCCTGTGTCACTCATTATTTGTACAGCACGCAGCGCAACCGTCCATGCGTCCTGCATACGCAAGCGCATGCACACACACACATACACACATACACACACACACACTGCGTCGTGGTTTTCAGCTGACACTTTTTTCTTGCTCATCTGCGACTTAACATCTGCCTTGTGCATGTGGGGTTTCTTCACTTGCCTTTTGCTTGCAGGGACATTCCACATCCCGGTCTACCTCGAGATCCCCATTTGCTGCGGGCGATGATTGACGAGACGCCGAAACTGCCGGTGCACCTTCATCGCAAGGACGTCAGCATTTCCTTTGGCTTTGGCCTCAACAGCTTGTGAGTGGTTGACATGGTTGGTGTGATAGGCATATCCATGCAGGTGTGCATGCACGCAGGCGCACGTGCACCCCATTTCTTGCATGAGCACATATCGACAGGTTCTGCTGCAACCACACGCCACTTCTCAGCTTCTCATGACGCGTGCCTGCATGCTCCCTACGGCTGGTGCTGCGCTCTGTTTTTTTACAGCACACCACCGGTGGTAACAAAGTCTTTAGCAGATGGGTTGGCATACAAGGCGGGTCTTCGTCGGGGCGATTTGGTGTTGCGAATCAACACGCTCGTAAGTGCTGTGCGCTGCATGCATGTGGCTTGTGGCGTTGCCGGTGGCAATGAAGTGTATCTAACGTTGAATATTGCTTTGCTTCTCGTACATATGCCCCAAGGCTTGCACGTGACTTGCACATCCTTCCTTCCCATTGTGATGTGATGCTGACTCAAAGTGACTGCTTGCTTGCATGCATGCATACACGCACGCACGTTAGGATGCAACGGCTGCCGCATACGATCAGGTGTTGGAAGAGCTGAAAAACGCGGGTACAGACGTGGACATTCTTGCTGTGCGCCCGGATATGATGCTCAAGAGCGCCATCCGCCAGGGTATGTGTGTGCATGTGTGCGGGTGCATGTGTGCGGGTGCGGGTGTGAGCGGATGTGAGTCTCTGATATGCTGCTTGCCTGCGTCACTGCCCAACTTCCTTAGTTCGCTGCTCTTCACTGGTGCAACCCAGCACCGCAACACTTTCTCACATTGTGTGTGTATGTGTGTTTGTGGATGCGCAGGCGGAAGAGTGCGACGCAGCATTGGCCGACGAAGTTCAGACGCAAGAAGTACGTTTGGTGCTGCTGCATGGGCTGCCCACCCTGAGCCCTCAGACCCAGCCATGTGCTTGCTCAAAGTGCTTGAAAAACAGCCACAGCCTCAAGCACAAGCTTGTCGCCGAGGGGCAGCTTGCCCTTGGTCCATGTTATCCTCTGCCAACTCCCATGTCATATCATTTTCACGTCACTTTACACTTGTTTCGTTGCCTCACGTACACCAAAACTCCCACATCATGTTGTTGCTTGTGCGTTGCACAGACCCGTACGCGCAGCACGAATCCGACGAAGAAATGGAGGGCTACTGCTCGGATGAGTAGCTGCCAACGCGTCGAGACACGCGCTCGTCACAAGACATCGTCATGTGTGGTTGTTTGTGTTCCTGTCGTCCTGTTGGCATTCATTCCCGTTTGCTGACTTGCTCATGCTGCATGCAAGCAAGTAACTTTGGTGAAGCTTGCGTCCCCTCCTCCTATTCCTTTCCCTCTTTCTCGTTAGCATCCTGCGATCTTGCTATCTTGCTACCTTGTACTTCAGTGCCCCTCATCGCTCCATTCCCTTCGATACCTTGCTTGCTTGCTCAAGCGCTCAACCTCCACATCACTCTGTCTGGCACTGCCTTGTTTCTTCCTTCCTTGTCAGCCGAGGCCCAGCCGTCACGCACGTGCCTCATTGACTGTGTTGGCACAGAAGGCACGCAGCATTCCTTCGTCCCACTTCCTGTTCACTTCCTCCTCTGTCTTTGCTTGCTCCTTGATTCCTTTTCCTCTTCTGTTGCTACTAGTTGTCTTCTCGCATTACTACTCCCTTCAGCTTCTTCTTGTTTTGGCTGTGCTTGCGTGTGCTTCTGTCTAACAGTGTGATGTTGAACGATAGCGGTTCGTTGTTTCATGTTGTGCCAAATCACCGCTTCCTCTCTTCCATCCCACACTGTCTCTTCCCCAGCACCATCGTTACCCGTTCGCAGGCACACTGCGTGGTGGCCTTGCATAGAGTTGCCGAAGAGATAACATTCATCATCATCATGATCATCATCATTTATATCACCCAGCCAACGAGACAACGACACCGTATGTCATCATCACACACGCGCACGTACGTATGCAAGCACAGCAGTGTTTGAAGGAGGCGCCATTAAGGGTGGTGGAAGCAGGCACAAAAAAGCAACCGCAGTGTGCGTGTGTGCTGCGTGCAATGCACCGAGAATGCCTGAGGGATGGCTGGAAAGCACGAACATGGCCACCCAACACAGAGGGCAGTGTCTGAAACGCAGACCACGCATGTGCTATTGCCGGCGTTGCTGGCTGTGGTCGCTGTTGGGGTGAGTGTGGAATTGGTGTTGATGGCCCTGGTTTTGCTGTTGCAAGTGGTGGTGGTGGTGGTGGTGTGGGGCATGCGACGGCATGCTGTCGTTGTTGTCGGCGAACAGAGGCAGGACGTGTCCGCTGGCATCCTCGGCAGCCGCTGCACAGTGCTGTTCGTGCTGCTGCTGGTGCGGCTGATGTTGCTGGTGCTTGTAATGTTGCTGGTGCTGGTAGTGTTGCCGTTGTTGTCTGCGCGGGGGAAGGAGGGCTTCCTGTGCAAACGCGACGGCGCTCGCGTGCCCCACTTGATACAGGATGTGGGCCTCGCTCTCTGCTGGGGGCTTGAAGGCAGTGAGGACGGAGTGGGACAGGCCGAGCTTGACGCGGCTCTGGAGATGCGGCCCAATGTGCACGGTGCTACCCATACAAGCGGTGACGCTGCGTGGGAATGGACACACGTTCACGGCGCCTGCGAGGCGGACGGGGTCGCTTGGGATGAGCCGAGGGATGCCGCCGTCAATGGCGCGCTGCTGCCGGAAGTGGGTGTGGAGGTGGCCGTTCAGGTACAGGGGCACAAAGCACGAGGCTGTGAGCGCTTCAACCAGGTCCGTGCGGCTATGGAAGTGGTCGAAAAGGACTGGCTTGCGGGGGTTGTTGAGCAAAGTGACGGCGACAAGCGCCCTGCCGTCCAGCTGCAAGTGGAGGTCGTCCGACACGAACATGTCCAGGGCGTGGTTCAGATACACGCCGGCCTTGCCCCGCAGCCAGCGCTTGTCGCGGCGACATTGCTCGCCCATGGTGATGTAGCAGTCCATGAGCGCCGTTGTGGGGAGGTCACCTGCAGCGGCACACGCCACGAGCGAGCCTGCGGAGGCGCCTGCGAAGACGGTGCTTGGCCCCAGCAGCTTCAGCGTGCGCAACGCGTCAAGAACACCCAAGTGGTAGACGAGCAGCCATCCTGCTCCGCTAAAGGAGACGGCCCTGAGCTTCCCACTCTCGTCCAAGAAGGGAGAGAAGGGGGACGACGCGTTCTCTTGGGTTGCTGCGTCTGCTGCTGCCCTTGCTGCATCTGCTGTTGCTGGTGTTCTGCGAGTTGCATGCTTGCTGGTGCTGGCGTCGTCGGTGTCAATGTGCTGCTGGGTGTGTGCTTGGCGAAGCAGCGGTGCCGTCTGGGCCAACATGTGCAGTCGCGCGGCCGGGGCCACAGCCAAGCGGTGATACGTCATGCTTATGGCGCTGTTGACCACACGCCCGCATTCACACCGTAACCGTGCCTGCTGCAGCAACAGCGCACCTGCTATCCGCATGCTTCGCTTGCAGCTTGTTGCTTGTTGCTGCTGGACAAGGGCGACGAGAACGAATGGCCAAATCCTTCTTGCTCCTTTTTGCTGTTTTTTGTTTTGTGTGTGCGTGTGTGCATTTTGCCAAGCGACAGAGGATAAGGGTGGTGGAGGTGTGCTGTTGTTTGCCAGAGCAAGCAAGGAAGCGAATAGAAGAGGGTCAGAATGGATGTGGCAATGAGTGAGCCCGCGCAGTTGGCAGAGACTGCCGATGCCGTTGCTGAGATCTTGACGGCACTTGCAGGTCAGTGAGCATGGGTGTGTGCATGTGTGTGTGTGTGTGTGTGTGTGTGTGTGTGAGGTCTGCTTCCAACTCCTCCCCCAACCCCTCTCTGTCCCTGTCTCTGTCTCTGTTTGTCTGTCTGTCTGTCGCACACACACACACACACACACACACACACACACACACACACACACACTCACTCACTCACTCACTCACTCACTCACTCACTCACTCACTCACTCACTCACCTCGGGTATGCTCCTCTTCACTCACTGCCTCTCTGCGCCCCCCCCCCCTCTCAAACACCTTTTCCCTTTCCACCGTTCCAACGCTGCATCAACCACGAGTAGAGCCCGACATGGGCGGCCTCTCAGACCAGTTTCAATGGTGGAGCGACCTCGTGGACGGCAGCGACGAGGACGAGGATGAAGACGATGACGACGATGACGACGATGACGACGAAGACCACAATGACCACAATGACCACAATGACCACGAAGAAGACTGCGAAGAGCCCAGCCATGGTCAACCTGAAGCGCCGCCCAGTGATTTGTCACGGCAGCAGCAGGGCACGGCTCCATCGGGCGCCACTGCTCTCACCTCGTCATCGCTGTCTTCTTCGACCACAAACACCAGCGACACATCCACTACTTCAACGGCTGCAGCAACGATGACCGCAGCCCCACCGACCATTGTGGTGGACGATGCTACGGGTGCATCTTCAACCAAAGGCATTCTTAAGGCGGAGACAGCTGCGCCTGCCACATCCACGGCCGCCCCATCCGCCAAGGACCAACTGCAAACCATCCAGTACCCAACGTCCGGCTCCAACTTCTCGCGGTGGCGCCGCCGTGCCATGAGCCGCCGCGCCAAGAACTTCCAGTCGTCCTTGCGCCTCAGCATCCGCAAGCGGTCCCAGCGCAAGCGCGCACCAGGGTCCCAGCAGCCCGACGAGAACACAGAGCCGAACAAAGAGGTCAGAAGTTGGGGATGCTGGCGTGAGTGAGTGAGAGAGAGAGAGAGAGAGAGAGAGAGAGAGAGAGAGAGAGAGAGAGAGAGAGAGAGAGAGAGTGTGTGTGTGTGTGTGTGTGTGTGTGTGTGTGTGTGAGCGTGCTCGGGTGCCTGCAAAAACGCAGTTACTGCGTCTAGCCAAGGCTTTCGTTCACCCTCAACAACAACAACGACACCTTCCCACTCGCTCGCCCCCCCCCCTCTCTCTCTTCGCTGTAGAACTACGTTGACGGGATTGCAGAGGTGCTCACGGTGCTTGCTGAGCGCGGCAAGGAAGGCGATGCCGGCAATGGTGACGCGCCGCTTCCCGAGACGAAAGAACAAGAAGAAGAAGAAGAAGAAGAAGAAGAAGAAGGAGAGGTGGTGGAAGGCTCGCCGCTGCAGCGTGGCCGAAGCGGAAATTCACTGGCGAAACCCGCACATCTCGCAGCGAAGAACAAGACGACCAGCAACAGCAGTGATGGGGATGGCAAGGACGACAGCACACCCTCGTTTGCACGGTGTGGAGGGTGGAGGCTTGTCAGTGCTAAGTTGGCCACGTGCGATGTCGTGAGGCTGTGTGTGTGTGTGTGTGTTTACTTTCGTTGCTGTGCTGCATGTAATGGTTGGTTGTGACCGCAGTTGCAACCCGCGATGCGCATACATGCGCGCACCACGGAACCTCACATTGCAGCATTCACACACACACATATACACACACACACACACAATACGCGCGTGTACGGGGCGCTACCACGTGTCATGTGGCATCATTTGTTGTGTGCAGGCACGTGCGCGAGAGCATGCGACGACGCATGTCGAGTTTCAGCCGGCACTCGCCCATCCGTGATAGCCGCAGCCCCACGATGCGGCGGCGGGCAGTGGCTGCACGCAGCAAGTACAAGTCGCCATCAGCGCGCAGCAGCGGCGGCACACGCAGGGGTGACGCAGTGCCAACATCAGCCTCTGTGGAGGGGCGCGTTGGCGGTGATCACGGTCATCCTGGCGATGGTGATGATGATGGCAAGGGCGACTGGAAGCAGAGGTCACGCAGTAGCGCTGTTGTCAGCATCCGTCGCAAAGACGAGGACGTATGCACATTGCCGCTTGCTCTCTGCTGCACATGACGAGTTGCTCTCTTGGTGGACCGAACATCTGCACGCCTGTACCGATTGCTCCTGCTCGCCACTTACACCCGCAAACACACCACACACAACGACACCACACACAACGACACAACACCACAACACAACACAACACACGACACAACACAACACACGCGCACATCAGCAGCAGGATCGGCGCACGGCCCTGAGTGCAACAGCGAGTGCGATGAATGTGACGCAGGGCAGCAGCGGGGACGTGTCGAGCCACGGAACACACCAGGAGGCGGTGATGCTGAAGCGTGCTGTCCGCGGTCTCTCTCGCTCACGTCTTAGCGCATCTGTGCGCCGTGGCCACATCTCACACAAGTCTGCAAAGCTCTCCGCAAAGTTTGTTGCGGACGAGGTATGGTGTGTGTGTATGTGTGTGTATGTGTGTGTATGTGTGTGTGTGTGTGCGCTCTGCGCAGTGCTGTGTACCTACACCTGAAGGTGCGATGGATGTGAGCGGGTTATGCTTGATTTGATTCCCACCATGTCACTTGCTTGCACACGATTTCCCACACGCACACACGTATCGCACATGAAAACATTCACATCAAACACACACACACACACACACACACACACACACACACAACATTGCAGCTGGAGAAGCTTGTTGCTGCCATCAAGCGCATTGGGCGATTGGACAAGCCGACCGGCCAGTACAACGTCACCTTCGGCGTTCTCTTCGAAAAGACAGAGGACGTCTTTGCGGTACGCGTTGCGTGATGTGCATGTGTGCGTGCATGTGTTGTGTGTGGTGTGTGCTGTGTATTGGGCGTGTGTGTTGTGTTGCATTTGCCCTGTGTGCCACTCACATGCGTGTCTAACATGCTCGTGTACGTGTGATTGCGTGTGCTTGCTCGCACGTGTGCAACCCCGCATCGCATGCCACCCCCCCCCCCTCCATGCGTGCGCATGACCGTACGCCAGGCGTCTGACGTGGACGGTATTCTGCTGACGGCGCGGAGTGTGGGGCTGATCACCTATCTTGGCGGTCTGCTCTTTCCCGGTCGCGATGACCTCGTCCTCATCACGCTTGTCTCAGACCAGGTCCCCCAGGACGAAAACGCATGTGAGTATGCCGGCTTTGTCTGGATCATCGTGTGCGTACATGTGCGCGCGCGCGCGTGTGTGTGTGTGCGTGACTGCAGGTGCATGTTCGGTCTTATGTGCGCGCATATGTGTGTGTGGCGTTGTAACATGCACCAGGGCTGCTCACCCCCCCCCCCTTTCGACATTGCATCACATGCATCTGCGTGACCAGATACACTCGGGCAAATTCGAAATGTGTCCATGCGACGCAGCCGCCGACGAAGCACCAAGGGCAAGCGAGGTGCGAACTTGATTACGGACTGCTGCACGCCAGTCTTTCGTGTTGGCTTTGTGTATTTATTCGTAATCTGTTGCATTCTCCTCACCATTCACACACACACGCACACACACACACACACCCGCCCGCATGCACAGAGGACACCACTGGCGGCGGCGGCGGCGGTGGTGGTGGTGGTGCGATTCCGTTTGGGGAGCAGCGGCTGGGCGCATCTGTGCGCAGGGGCGAGCTCTCTGCCAACAGCGCAACCGCAGCCATCAAGTGGGTCGACACGCAGGTACGTCTCGTGTGTGTGTGTGTGTGTGTGTGTGTGTGTGTGTGTGTGTGTGTGTGTGTGTGTTGGTCTTGGTGATGGCGTGGTTTTGCTCCTGCGTTGTATGCCGCTTGTTGTGGTGCCATATGTTTCCTCTGTTTTGTCCGCCCGCCCCCTTCCCCTCGCATCCTCACCCTTGTTGCTATTGCTTGTTGTCATTGGCTTGCCTTGTGTTGCGCGTTGTGCGGCCAGATTCGCCTGCTTGTGGAGGCCATCATCAAGTATGGGCTACGCAACGACGACGGCAACCTGCAAATCAACTTTGGCGTGCTCTACGACAAGACCGTCAACACCCTCGAGGTCCGTCCGCGTGTATGTGTGTGAAGGACTCTGTGTATGCGTGTATGTGTGTGTACGCGTGTGTGTCTGAAGGACTGGGAAGAGATGGACAGGAGCGAAGATACCAAGAGGCGTCGAGGTTGAAACACGCACACAATTTCGCGCACACGCCTGTGTGAAGACGCGTGCAGCGCGCATTGTTGACTGACTCTTGGCCACGGCGTTGTGTGGTGCATCATTGTAGGCTGCTGAGGTTGGCGCGCTGTTGGACTCTGCACGGGCAAAGGGCGTGGTCTCCTTTGTTGGCGACAACCTCAAAGTGTTTGACGACGATCTCACCACCATCACGCTGCTCACCGAACACGTGACAGACTCCACCCAAGACACCTGTACGTGCATGCATGTGTATTTGTGTGTGTGTGTGTGTGTGTGTGTGCTGTGCTGTGCTTGTTTGTATTTACCCGCCCGTGTGTGTGTGTGTGTGTGATCATGTCACAACCACAATGCATACCTGACGCACACACACACACACACACACACACACACACACACACACACACACACACACACACAAAATACCACGCACGCGGATACAGACACGTTTGGGGAGATTCGCCGCCTGTCCCTGCGCCAGCGCCGCCCTTCCCGCCGCTCCCGCCGGTCCCAGCGCCGCGACTAGGCAGCCTTGCGAGCCTTGCTGCCGTCGATGGAGGGGGGCGGGCGAGAGAGAGAGAGAGAGAGAGAGAGAGAGAGAGAGAGAGAGAGAGAGAGAGAAAGAGAGAGAGAGAGAGAGAGAGAGAGAGAGAGAGAGAGAGATGTTTGCTGTGGCTGTTTCGCTGCTTCCTTGCCGCTTTGCTGCTTTTGGTTGTATTGCCACGTAACCGCCTGACGAAGTTTTGTTGGCATTTTACATAAAAGACGAAATCCAAACAAATCAACAACAAACGCGCAACCAACCACAAAGCAACAAACAAACGAGCACCCACCATTGTCCTTCGCTCGCTCCGCACCTTTCCTTCCTATCTGGCTGACATCCCCTTCCCATCCCTTCCATCCCTTGCTTGTGTGGGTCGAGATGGGAGACAGTCGACCATTTGAGACTGTGGTGCAGCCTGGAACTGCTTTGGGGCCGTTCCTGCTCGGCTCCACCATCAACACGGTCATTGCGTTCCTCAAAGAGAACTTTGAAACGTTCCACGCCGTCGACTTTGTCTACAACTCCGAGGTGTGTGTGTATGTGTGTGCGTGCGTGCGTGCGTGTGTGTGTGGGTGGGTGTGATGTGTGTGTGCGCGTGTGGGCGTGCGTGGGTGTGAGTGTGTGTGTGTGTGTGTGTGTGTGTGTGAGTGTGTGTGTGTGTGAGTGTGAGTGTGTGTGAGTGCGGGTGAGAGAATGTGTGTGTGCGCGCATAAGTTCGGTTTTCGTGGTGCACAGCATGCGGCAGCGTCCTTGATCGCCCCTCACGCCAAGTTCGAATGTGTGCACGCGTGCGCCATCTGCCGTCGTCTGTGCACAACGAACAGAACCCGCTTGGCCAGGACCTCTTGCTCAACATTGACGAGTACTGCTTGCAGCTGCGCTTTGATCCGCAAAACCAATGCCTCAAGGTACGTGCGAGCGGGTGTGTCCACGTACATGTGCATACCTCCATCTGCTCCTTTTCTTGCTTGTTGAACTTGCTTCTGTGTTTTTCTCGTGTGGCTGGAGTGTGTGGCCTTGTATTCACGACCGGCCCGCTGTATCATGTTCCTCTTCCCAGGCGATTGAGGTGTACGGCTTTGACAACATTCGACTTCAATACGAGTGAGCGTGCTCTGTGTGTGTGCGTTGTGTGTGCGTTGTGTGTGTGTGCGTTGTGTGTGTGCGTGTGTGTGTGTGCGTTGTGCGTGTGTGCGTGTGTGCGTGTGCGTGTGCGTGTACGCGTTTGTCTGACTTTGGCAGCTCACCAACGCTTGCGCCACCTAACACCCTTCCGCCCATATGAAGGAAATCTGCGTTTGGGGGCCAGCCCGTATGCGACTATGGCTTCCGTGAAATCCATCAAGTGTTCGGCATCACGCGTGCAGGTTGATCACTTGGCGACAACGCCGCTTGCTCGTGCTCCTCATGATTGTCGTGTTGCTGTGGTTGAAAGTGAATTGTTTTTCTCGAATGCTTCGCGCGATCGCCATTGACATTGGCCGAACCACACGCTGTCCACGCTGTCCACGCTGTCCATGGCACAGACTTCAACTCGGTGGAGAAGGCCTACTTCCTCGACTACCCCGGCTTGCGCCTGGGCTTCAACGTCCCCGAGAAATGGGTGGTGTGTTGAGCAACACGTTGCAAGTGTTGTGTGTGTGTGTGTGTTTTTGTGTGTTTTGTGTGTGTATGTGTGTATGCGCGTGTACGCGTGTGTGCGTGTGTGTGCGAATATTGTGGTAGTGAACTGCGTATTTTTGTGCGATCTTGACCGCTTTCCTGCATGCACTCTATCGCTTCAGTCGTTGGGTTTGTTGCGTTGCTTGCATGTGTGCGTACACGTGCGCCGTCAATAGTCTTTGTCCTCAATGTGTTGTGCGTGTGTAAACCATGTCTTGGGCTGCAGCAAACGTATGCACACAAGAAGGCAGACTTGGCACAGTCGCTCGCATTTCCAGACGGCGAGACTGCCACCCTGTCTTCACTTCTCGTGTTTTGCGGTGCGTTGCCTCACCGTTCATGTGCGCGGTCACATGCTTCATTCATTGTGTCTCACAGCCATCACCTGAGCTGCTTCTGACGCCATTCAGACACCAGTGCACACATATTTTGACACATGAATTGATGTACAGCCTCAACGATGACTGCGACGCACTTTTAAATTCTCACACCCCCACGTTCTCACGCGCGCACACACACACACACACACACACACACACACACACACACACACACACACACACACACACACACACACACACACACACACACACACACACACACACA